TCCTCAGCTCGCCTCAGGGGACACACTTGAAACTTCATCGAGACTGAGGTTAGGGAGAAAAATAAGAGAGGTTAAATTCACAGAGAGTCTAGATATAGATTTGGAGACAGGGTCATTCTCCCCTCTGACTCTACATCCCATCCTACATGTGCTCTGCTAAAGAACACAGCGAAGCACCCCTCCCCTGAGGTGGAGGCCAGGGGAGGTGGAAGCAGCAGAGCAGGTTCACCACAGTGTCTCCAGCATCGAGGCTGTGGCTGGCAAAGGCATCTTGGCAAGGAGGCTAGAGCAGGCCAACATAAGAAACACACACACACACACACACACACACACACACACGTACATATATCTTGTGAATATACGTTTTCGAGTTTTGGGAATACATACCAAGGAGAGGGATTGCTGGAGAGGGATTGCTGGGTCATATGGTAACTCTATTCTTAATTTTTTGAGGAATCAGGCAATTTTGTCACTGTTTTCCATAGTGGCTGTACCATTCTACATTCTTATCAGCAGTGAATGAGGGTTCCCTTTTCTCCACAATCTTTCCAACACTTGTTATTACTGGTCTTGTTGATAATAGCCATTCTATCACGTATGAGGCTATATCTAATTGTAGGTCCCCCCCCCCAATATATTTTTATTGACTTCGGAGAGGAAGGGAGAGGGAGAGAGAGATAGAAACATCAATGATGAGAGAGAATCACTGATTAGGTGCCTCCTGCATGCACTCTACTGTGGATGGAGACAGTCACCCAGGCATGTGCCCTGACCGGGAATCGAACAGAGACCTCCTGGTTCATAGGTGGAGTGCTCAACCACTGAGCTATTTTTGTTGGATTTCCCTAATTGCTAGTGAGGTTGAACGTCTTTTCAAGTATCTGTTGGCTATTTGTATGTCTTCTTGGAAGAGGTGTCTATTCAGGTCCTCTGCCCATTTTTTAATTGGGTTGTTTGGTGTTGAGTTTTATGAGCTCTTTATATATTTTGGATAGTAAATGTTTGTTAAAGCTATTGTTTGGAAATATCTCCCATTTTTTCAGCTGCTTCTTTGTTTAGTTATCAGTTTCTTTTACTGTGCAGAAGCTTTTTAGTTTGAAACACTCCCATTCATTTATTTTTGCCTTTACTCCCCTTCCCTTTGGGGTCAAGTTCATAAAATGTTTTCTACGTTCATAAGTTTAGCATCTATGTTTTCTTCTATGTAATTTACTGTTTCAGATCTTATATTTAGGTCTGTGATCCTTCTGAATTAATTTTTGTACGTGGGGACAAACTATAATCTAGTTTCATTCTTTTGCATGTGGCTTTCCAATTTTTCAAGAGAAAACTTTTATTAAAGAGACTTTCTTTTCTTCATTGTGTGTTTCTGGCTCTCTCTTAGACATGACATTCTAGTCAAAGTTTTGGTTAATAAAACCACAATTGGAAACTAGCATTATTGTGTTCATGCAAAGAAATGTATTGCCATTATTAGAAGTAAGAATTGCTAAATTCTGGAGGTGTAAGAAATAAGGCAAGCCCCCCCCCCAATTAGGGGTTCTGGTAGAACACAAAACATACTCAGGAGCCAGGCAGCAAGGCAAATATCTTCTATGTAGAAGGGTGCGCATACATGGCCTGGGAGCACACACACACCGAGCAGGTGGTCCTCTCGGCATTATAATCCATGATACATGTAACTTGTCCCTCACTCTTGATTGGGGCTCAGGTGCACAGTCTTTCTCAATTGGCTAATTCAAAGGGAAGGGTTGGCCTTTGCCTTTTCAAGATGGCGGCCCCCAGGGGAGGGAGAGCTCCCTGGGTCCTGTCCTAAGGGTTTTAAGGGTGTAGATTTTAGGGTGGTCCAGGTGAAGATCACAATAGAATATTCAGCAGCTTTCTAGGTGTGTCCTTTCAGGGTCAGGGTCTCCACTGATTGGTTGGTTGGTGCCAGGGCAGGTGGGTCATTGATTCAGTGCAGCTGGTCCTGAGGTCAGCCTTGGCATTGCTTGTCTGGTTGTGTTGCTTTTCTGGGCTTGGAACTGAAATACTACTGAGGCCTAGATATTATCTCTAGGGAGGAAAAGTCAGGGGGTCCAAGCCGCATAACCAGGGGAGGAAAAGTCACTCTGAGGACCAGGTCCCACCCTACAATTGCTAGGCACTCAGGGCTTTCTGCCTTGGTGACCTTCTGTACCTGGCCCATTGTCCTTGCTCTGCTCATGTCTGTCTAACTGCTCACCACAGGACTGTGCAAACATCTTTAATCCTCGCCAAACCCCTTTCTGGTAAGTATTAGATTCATTTCATAGATGAGCTGGAGGCTCAAAACGTTTAACTAACTTGCCTAGGAGTGAAGTGGGGCATGGCAGGTGATAAGAACTATATAGAACAGAGCAGGATGGGTAGGTGTACTGGGGCATAATCTGCTCCAGGTAGGGAGAAATGCCTATTTGCCCTGGGCAGGGTGACAGCCTGTTCCAGGAGCCAGCAAGCTTTGGTGCATATGTGAATGAGGGCTCAGATAGTCTGTGAGGAGATTTAAGAGAAGCAATCTCCTGTGGCCTGGATCTAGCTAACTCAAGGTTGTCAGGGGTCACATCATGGTACAGTCTCTCCTTAATACATAATGTGGTTGAAAGAGTTGGCAGCTTGAATATTTGCAGTCAATAGAGAAGTGGAGAGTAGATGGGAAAGTTGAGAAAGAGAAATGAAGAATTTACAACTTCTCCAGATTTCCTATTTAAAATAGACTGTTTTGTGTGTCTCTGGGTAGGTTTCAGTACTGGTTTATCGGGAGACGTGTGTACACCTTGCTATGGGTTATTTGATGAGCATCTCTGCATATATAGCTTGTATCCATACCTGACACAATAGAAAATAGTCATGGGATTTTGGGTGGATGGAAGATAATGAAATCACCAAGGTTTTATGTATATTGCATGTTATATGGCTCTCTTTTTATAATAGATTGTAGGTTTTTGATTGTCAGGGTATCAGGGTCTGATACTGATTGAACCATTATAAAAAGACGTTTAAGCTCTCTCGTCCAGATAAAAGGTAGTAGTTTGACTCCAGCCTTGATTACATCAGCTATTGAAAGACTTCATCAGGGATGCATGCTCCTCTCATCTTTCTGCTCTGCCATCTTCAGATTGTTCCCCATGGTCTCAAAGATTCTGATAGCAAGGAGGAAAGCATAGAATGGATTGGGAGCAGGCAACCTAGGGTATCTGCTACAATGGATGTGTGAGGAGGGACAAGACAGGGTGACCTGGAGAGGATGTGTGATGTGCTTCCCCTGCATGGGGGAGGAGAAATATGCACTTATCCACAGACATCTGAAAGCCTTTTACTATCTAGATCTGTAGTTATCAGAATTAGGGGCATGGTTATCAAGTCTGACTGCACATTGTAATCCCCTGGGTGGCTTAAAAAATATTGACACCTGGGTCCCAGCCAGAGATTCTGATATATTGGGATGAAGTCTAGGGATTCTAGCATACAGCCAAGGTTGAGAATCACTGGCTGCAGCCTTCGTCAAAGATGTTTGGGAATCATTACACACTTTGTTGCTCTTGCTCATCTCATCCCAGGAGACTCACAATGCACATTTACCATATTAAATGCTCTCTCTCTCTCACACACATACACACACACACACACACACACACACACACTAAAATAAAATAAAATAAAGTAATAATAATTTAAAAAAAGCTCTGACAGTTCCCAAGCTCAAGAACTTGGATAGCCTTTTATAATCCAGTGTTTCCCACATTTATTTGATCCAGAAACATTTTTGGGGTCATGACACCTGTTATGGGTTGACTTATGCCCCCTAAAGAGATACATTGAAGTCCTAACACCCATTACCTCAGAATGTGACCAAATTTGGAAATAGGAACTGTTGCAGTTCCTATTTGTCATTAATTAAGACAAAGTTATAGTGGAGTAGAGTGAGCCCTCAATCCAATATGACAAGAGAAAAAGACACAGAGAGAAAGACATAGGATAGAAGACCAAGTGATGGCAGAGACAGAGATTGGAGTGATGCATCTACAAACCAAGGAACACTGAGCACTGCTGGCAAATGCTAGAAGTTAGAAGAGAAGACTCCTCTGGAGAGCCTTAAGAGGGAGCGTGGCCCCATTGACACCTAGATTTTGAGCTTCTATCCTCCAGAATTCTGAGACAATAACTTCTGTTGTTTTAATACCCAGTTTGTGGTACTTTGTTCCGGCTGCCCTAGCAAACTAATGGCATCCACCAGCATCTCTCAGACACAGTTTGAGAAACCCTGAACTAGAACCATTCAAAGGCAACCCCTGACTAAGAAAATAATAATTATTAGTCTGTAAAAGACTAATGAAATAATTAGTCTGTAAAAGAGTGTTTTTTCCCCCTCGAAGTCCACACTATTTTTATTTCTAGAAGGAAATACATTTGAACAGTATATCACAGTAGTGGCAATTGTATGTGTATGTATATACATTTTTATTAGCTTTTTTTACATGCCACTCTTGGAAACTTATCCATGGACACAGAAAATATTGACTTGGAGAGATTACAGAATCAATGGTAAGCGTAGGCCCAATGCTCTGGCCTTCTGCTGACTCTACAGATGATCGTGTGTAGATGAACAGCTTACACCTGGGGCGCCGCTGGTGCAGGTGGAGGGGGCTGGGCCTCTGACAGCAACTTGGGCTGCTCACTTCAGTTTCCAGGCTCCTGTTTTTTACATTTAATGCCCCGGAAACCAAGTATGTTCATCAGCAGCAAATCGACAATCTCTCCTTCCTCCGACAGCTGCAGAGGGAGAAAGAACACACAACATATATAGATACATCCTCTTTGGGGGCTTTTCTTTCTAAGGGGAAACCATGGTTTTCTTGTGTAACTTGGTCCCTGCCAAAGTCACTTTGACTTTTTGACTTGCTTTTGTGAATCCAGGGATTCATCTCTTTCAGGGAATCTCATGGTTGTGTTCTCTCCACTTTTTCCCAAGGAGGGGTTCCTTCTTCCCCTCTGATGAAAATAACAGAATTCCTTCACCCCCTCATCAGACGTGATTAGGAATGTATGTACAAAGCCTCTCATATATTGCTCTTGTTAATGTGAAATGGTTCCACTGCTTTGGAAAACAGTTTGGCAGTTTCTCAAAATTTAAACCAAAGTCACCATATGACTTGTTGAATTAAATTTCTAGGCCCAGGGTAGAGCTGCTCCTGCCCAGGGTGCCATGTCAAAAAACTGAAATTTAGACAACATATGTGTCCTGGTAAATGCTCCCCTTGACAGAAATGCAGTACTGCAGTCAGCCAGTCCCCAAACACCAACCCAACTCTGGTGCTCTATCCGTACTTATTTCTTTTTTTTAATTTATTTATTTTTTTTAAATTTTATTATTTATTACAAAGGATATTACATATGTGTCCATTTTTTCCCCCCGCCCAAGACAGTCCCCTAGCCTCCCCTATCCCCCAGTGTCTTATGTCCATTGGTTATGCTTATATGCATGCATACAAGTCCTTTGGTTGATCTCTTACCCCCCTACCTCCCGCCCCCGAACCCTCCCCGGCCTTCCCGCTGCAGTTTGACACTCTGTTTGAGGCAGCTCTGCCTCTGTATCTATTATTGATCAAAAGTTTATAATGGTCTCAATTATCCATGAATGAGTGAGATCATGTGGTATTTTTCCTTCATTGACTGGCTTATTTCACTTAGCATAATGCTCTCCAGTTCCATCCATGATGTTGCAAATGGTAAGAGTTCCTTCCTTTTTAGAGCAGCATAGTATTCCATCGTGTAGATGTACCACAGTTTTCTAATCCATTCATCTACTGATGGGCACTTAGGCTTTTCGTACTTATTTCTTTTTCCTTCTCACCCCAAACAGGTTGACTCTGTAGCCCCAGCCAATCGATATTTTTCATTTTTCTCTCCCTTGTTTTTTATTTTTATTCTTTATCCTATAAAAACTTCCTGCCTTCCATCCTACCTTGCAGTTCTCTGAATGGATACTGATCACTTCATGAAGTATTAAAGTTTGTTTGTATCACCTAACTTTTCTTTCATTATTTATAACTAGAGGCCCGATGCATGAAATTTGTGCAGGAGTAGGCCTTTGCAATCCCGGCTGCCTTGGCCCCTGCAGTCCTGGCTGCCGGCTTTGTCCGGAAGTTTGTCTGGATGGTCGTTCTGCTGTTCGGCCGTTCAGTCAATTTGCATATTATGCTTTTATTATTATAGATGGGTTCTCAACCTTGGCTGAACATTAAAATAACACAGGGAGATTTCAGAAATACCCATGCTTGCATCATTCACCCAGGGATTCTGTTTTTAGTGGTCTCAGGTACAACAGTAGTAGTTTCCAAAAGCCCCCAGGTGATTATAATGTACAATCGGAGCTGAGAATCACCGCTGTAAGGAACAGTCCCACACTGGGAATCAGGAGACCCAGTTCTAGTGTGTCCTTCATTTGCTTATGATCTTAGGGGTGATATCCACTGGGAAGGCATTTGAGGGGACTGCTTTTTCTAATTTTTGTAAAGGCTTGGTGTAGATAGCAGTGTCCATGTTCCCTTGCTTTACCCCATTACCTCCTCAGAGTTGAAGATTCCTACCTGAAGGCTGATCATCGTTTCTGCTGCAGCAAAGAGGGTTTTGTAGGAGCAGAGTTTCCAACCAAATATCAAGTTTGACTGTTGTGGAAAGAGTCCTCATGAGCAGCGAAAGAAAACATGCAGTTCCCTAAAGCCTGTTGTTTGACAGAGTCAGTGGTCTGAGTTAGCCACATCCTTGGCCTGGCCTGGCTAAGCTACTGGTACCTACTGAGGCATGGAAGTTGGTGGAAGTACACACCCAGTTTTGCATGGATGCATGTGCACTTCTGGGGCTCACACACCACCCACTAGGCTCCTACTACATTCTCTCAGATGGCTGTTCTAAAATTCAGTAATGAAACGGCTCTCTGAGGCCCAATCCTTTTTGCGCAGGGGGAGCTGGGTTGGATGGACAATAGGCTTCTTCTGCTGAACAGGACCTTCTCCACACCGTACTTTTCTCTCACCACCACATTCTCCACCCCAAAGATTTCCACAGGGGGCTGTGTCAGAGGGAATCCCTGCACTCCATTGGCTCTGAGTCAGTGACTTCTATTCCCAGAGGACACTGCAATTCCCTGCAGTCTGTGCATTGGGTATGGAGGACTGAATAAATCCACATGATCTAAGAAGTTGGATGGGGTACTTATGACAAAAACAGATTCCAGCTTTTCAGCATATATACTCCATCAATGCATTTCACCCTATTTTGGAGGATGAGAAAGGAAGATGGAGTGAGGTCAGGTAAGGAGTGGGGGGTCAGGGTTGAGGTGATAGTCAGGGAAAGAATCAGGAATGGGAAGGGGGACAGAGATGAGTGGGGACTAGGATAAGATAGATTATTGGATGGTATGGAGATCAGGGGATGGTGTAACGTGAGAGACTGGATGCAACCAGAATGATAATTCAGAAAGGGGTTAGGGTGAGGAGTGAGTCAAGATTGAACAGTGTCAGGAGTGGGAGCCAGGGTTATGATGAGAATCATGGACTTGGAGAGCATGGGGAGCATGTTTAGATGAAGATCAGGATTATATTAGAGCAACGGTTCTCAATCTGTGTGTCGTCAACCTCTGGGTCGCGACCTCTTTGTGGGTCGAATGACCCTTTCACAGGGTTCGCCTAAGACCATCGGAAAACACATATATAATTACATATTTTTTGTGTGATTAATCACTATGCTTTAATTATGTTCAATTTGTAACAATGAAAATATATCCTGCATATCAGATATTTACATTACAATTCATAATAGTAGCAAAATTACAGTTATGAAGTAACAACGAAAATAATTTTATGGTTGGGGGTCAGCACAACATGAGGAACTGTATTAAAGGGTCGCAGCATTAGGAAGGTTGAGAACCACTGATTGTAGGGTCTTTGTTTCTCACATTTCTTGATATAGAAAAAGAGTTGATAGTTTAATTTTTTTTTCAATCACAAAAGAAATGTGAATTTTTAAATGCTTTCAGTGTTAAGGGGCTGAATAAAATGGTGTTGGCCCTACTAACTTCATGCATCACGTGTAGGGTATCAAGCATTGACATCGCCTGCAGATACATCCATCCTCACTTCCCCATCTCTGCCCCAGCTCAGGAACAGGACTGCCCAATTCATCTCGACGTCCCCTGACACAGAAGGAGCGCTTTGTGCATGTTTGAGCAACTGGGAGAACTGGCACATCCAGGCAGGGTCTGGATACAGAAAGGAATCCTTCATTGGAGATAGTTGGCCCTCTCAGTCTTGAGACTGTACCTCCTCACTCTTACCCAACTGAGGTCTCCATTTGGAGTGACCAGTTCATGAGCTCCCAGCTAAAAGGCCCTAGGTTCAGAAGACTCACCATCTCCCTCAGGTTCCCGGGGTTTACCTTACCCTAATTCCCAATCCCCTAGCACTGAGAAGCCTTTGCTTCCAAGGAGACCAGCTCTGAGGTTTTCCCAAAAGAGCCACTCACCGCAATGGAGTAAGCCAGGAGCATGATAAAGATGATGATGACAAAGCCTGAAATGTCTCCCCAGGCATGGTGTAGAGCTGATGTGATCATGTTCATTTTGGGGTTTAACCTGAGCAGATGCCAAAGTTTTGCCATGGACAGCAGTACCAGGAAGGCAATGATGTAGCCAAGGGCAGTGTCAGCTGCGGCTGTCTCACTGAAACTGATCCCCCTTTGGGACCAAGAAGGAAGATTGGGTCTCAGAGACTGTATACAGGTCAGCCAGAGTTCATCTGGACTCATTGCAGCCCAGGATTAGACTTATCTCAAAGGCCACCACTTCTTACAACAGGTCTGGGAGACAGAGCTGTCCCAATCCCCCCAGCCAGATAATGATGAGATGGTGATGCTGAGGATGATGGTGATGATGATGATGAAGGAGATAGAGACGACAGTGATGATGATGATGGTGATGAGGATGATGAGGATAATTATGATAGGGATAGTGATGGTGATGATGGTCACAGGGCCTCAGCAGTTCGTGAGGCCGTTACCTAGCAGTCTTGGGTAATGGCTGCAGGGCTATGGAAGAATGACAAAGGAGTGATCCTCCCCAGGTCAAGAGGACAAAGATGAGGGAGTACTATGAACCTCCTCTCCTGGTTCAGGGTCACTAGATGCCACTTTCTCCTGTTTGAATGTCCCTATTGCCCTTACATTTGAAGGAGGGATGGAAGTACCATCCAGTTGCTGTGCTAAGTGAGGGCCTAATGAACTTTACTAGTAATTGCATTGTGTCATCTGACTGAAAACCACTGGATGAGGGAGTATGCTATCTCGCTTTACAGATAAGGACAGAGAGTTGGCATAATGTCACACAGCTAGTGACATAGTTGAGGTATAACTGGTGGTGGAAGAATGACAGTTGGAATCCAGAAGTGTCTTGATTCCAAAATCCAGGTTCTTCCCCTATCCCACCCTGCCGTTCATGCCCCTCTCATGCCTTTGCACTCTAAATTCAGTCTTTTAAAAAATATATATATTTTATTAATTTTTTTACAGAGAGGAAGGGAGAGGGATAGAGAGTTAGAAACATCGACCAGCTGCCTCCTGCACACGCCTTACTGAGGATGTGCGCACAACCAAGGTACCTGCCCTTGACCGGAATCGAACCTGGGATCCTTCAGTCTGCAGGCCGACGCTCTATCCACTGAGCCAAACCAGTTAGGGCTCTAAATTCAGTCTTAATATTGGTGTGTCATTAAAAATGGCATAGATTTATATTTAATGACATAGATGGGAACAGTCTATAGAACAAAATTATATGATCTCAAGTTTTTAAAAGCATTTCATATACATATATGATGCGCTAGTGAAAGTCTTTCTTCTACCTAATCTCCTACCTTCTAAAACTTTCCTCCCTTTTTGAGTAGACTGGGGTGGCTTGTATGGATGGTGGCCTCCTCCTTCGGCTCCTGCAGCACCTTGTTCCTCCCCCTTTTAAAATACCCAACCTTCTCTCATGTCATCTAATTGTTCATATATGTGGAAATAATAACCATGTAAGCCCTCTTTTATGATGGCTATTAGCTCTAATTAAGGCAGCGAGCTCAAACTCATCTACATTTTAGAAAAAACAGGAAAACCTTAAAAATACTGGTGCTGGGGCTCTGTCCCCGGACATCCTGATTTAGTAGACCTGGGCATCAGAGTTGAATCATCCCCCTGAGTGATTCTGCTGAAGAGGTAGGCCTGAGAACCATTGGGTTAAAGGGAGACTATGAATATGAAGCATATAATTTGGTCTTAAAAATACTTTTAAAATTCAGGATCTAACTACAAAATGGTTTATCTATTTCAACAAGAAAACAAAATTTGCAAGTTTCTGAAATAAACACGAACTTTGGTTATTTGACTAATACAAATACAATTGAGGGTTTCCTATAATGCCAAACTTAACTATATTCAGGTTTCTATCAAAAGTGGCAGATTTCTTTTGTTTTCTGACACTCAATGTAAAAAAGAGTACTCTCTTGCTGTAAAATTGTTTTATGATTCATCTAAGCAAGAAACCAGTTTGTGTGAATGTCAAAAAAAGAACATGTTTAGATTGTAAGGAATCACAAAGCATGGCTAGTTTGGGGACAGTGCTGGTACAACAATCACACTGGCTGCCAATGATCTCAGTCATGCGTGACCTAAAACGGACTCACCATTGTCCCTTCCTAGAACTCAGGCTTTGTTCTCTAAGCAGGAGTTGACAATTTTAATGTAAAGGGCCAGGTGGCACATATTTGAGGCCCTGGGGGCCAGTTTCCGTCCCAGTGACTTAACCCAGTTTAGCAGGAAAGCAGCCATAGATAACACATAAATGAATGAGTGAGGTAGTGTTCCAATAAACATAACTTAACAAAAACAGGTGGTGGGCTGGATTTAGCTCCTGTGTCATCTTTTGCAGACCCCTTCAAAAGCTAAACCATCTTTAAGTTTTTAAAATAACTGTTCTGCATAAGGTTTACAATCAACTTAAATAAAAATAAAAGTACTTCTGATAACTTTTGAGTTCAAAGAATTCTATTGATACTGAGACATTTTTATGGACGGGCTTTTAGAGAGGGTAGCGTTTTTGTTGTATATTTGCTGTGGCAACATGGGTGTGGCACAAAGTAGAACTCAATTTGGGTTTGTTGAATGAGAGACATTCTCGAGTAGAGGTTAGGAGTGTAGAGATCAAATTCTAGGCCTTGAGTTTCCTTGCTGTGTGACCTTGCACAGACAATTTAACCTCTCTGAGCCTCAATTTTCTCATCTGTGAAAAAGGGATGATGATAATATCTCAGAAGTTTCAGAAAGGTGGAAGTAGATGATTTTAAGGTGGTGTCGTTATGACTGTGTATGGCATCCAACAATAACTCAATAAATGTTAGGTCTATCTATAAAATCAGTGAGTCAAGAAACGCAATGGTTCAAAGTACAAACTGGGATCCTGGAGACATACAAGGTAGGTTTAAATTACTTCTCTGCCACTTTTTACCTGTGTGACCTTGGGGAAGTCATATTATCTCTCTGAATGTCAAGTTCTTTATTTATAAAATGGGGTAATGATAACATTTACCTCCATCAGCTCTCATGAGGATCTGATTGGTTAGGGCATCCTGCCTAGCACAGGGACACTGGGTAAATGGTAGCAGATGTAGTTGATGACACAAATACTTGAAAAAACCCTGCTCAGCAGGCTAGGAGGGATCTTAACAGAGTCAATGGGTCCTCTGTTTAGTAAGGTTTGCAAAAGATCCTGTTTTATTTTGTCTTAGAGTCTTCAGACCACAAATCTAAATCTAAGTGATTGCTATAGCTAATTTTTAGAGTGACCCTTTATCCTCTGGGAGTCAACACAACTTTAAAGGCCCCCTTTCAACCCTGAGCCACACAGAGCTGGAGGAAGCAGGCCAGAGGTAGGACCTGGGACTGAGGCAGAGCCACTTACTCCTCCCCTTGTTTCTGATATCGCTGGATGTCTCACTCCGCTAGGATGGCCCTCCTCACAAACACTGCCAGGGCACTCCAGCTGGCCAAGATGATGGCCAACTCCAGAAGGTTCCACTTGCTGTGGAAATAGTGCCACTTCTGCTTACACATAAGCTTGCCCTGGGAAAGGAACCAGAGGTTCTATCAAAGGCTATGGCCGGAACTGTGCTTGTCTTTACTCCCAAGGTGGTTCCCTGAACCATCTTAGGGGCAATCGGAATGTAGAAGAGGAATGTAGCTCAGAAAGTTGTTAAATGGGCCTCCTATGATGTTCTTAGAGAAACAATAAGACATAGGTTTCTATTTGATGACTGTTGACTGGTGAGTTTGAATTGGATGCTCAGAGAGCATGTGTGTTGCCAGTTTTGAGACTGATGGTGTGGCATAGGGGTTGAGTGTCAAGATCTGGGGTCAGACTCTCAGGATTTAATTCTGAACTTGGATGAATTACTTCACATCTGGACTTTAGCTTCCTACTCTGAAATGGATCCATAGGACCTTTCTCCTGGTGTTAAAGGAGAAAATCCTCATAAGGTTCTTAGCAAAATCCCTGCCTCTTAGTAAGCCCTCAAAGTATATTTCTTAAAGTGGTGGCTGTGGTGGTGGTTGGAGCAGGGAAATGGGGAGCTAAGATACCCCTTTTAGGTATCTGGTTTCCATTTTTGGAAAACAACATCTAATATGCTTTGGATGTGTTCCCATCGTCATTATCAACATCTGTACTTCATTGTGCAACATGGTGGTAAAGGTAGCAAGGGGAATGTTTCTTAATTCTCAGGGATCACAGTGAGAACAAAAGTGCTAAGAACCCCCACAGTTCCGGCCATAGCCTTTGATAGAACCTCTGGTTCCTTTCCCAGGGCAAGCTTATGAGGTCAGAGAAACCCCAGCTATGGAGAATATCCACCTCCAGCATTTTGGAAAGTCTCAGTTCAGCAGAAATGGGAGCCTTGCTCCAATTCCTTCCTTACCCAGGAAGGACCACCCTCTGAGTTCTTAATTCCTCTGAGGTGCCAAAGTTGGATTCCTGAACTAGTTCAGCCCTCAGGACCAGCAGAAGGGCCCCGCAAAGGTTGACTTGACAAACAGGTAAACAGAACCTTTTCCTCCCCCTCTTTCAGACCCCACTCCAGGGAAGAGTAGGGGTGGGAGAGGGAACGGGCACACCACCATCTCCTTCCCTTGCACATAGAGCTACAAGTCCACCTTCACCTGCATGACCATGTAGTAGAGGAGGAACAGGAGGTAGATTACCTCTGCCGCCACCACAAAGGGGTGCCAGCCATCAATGAAGGGATACAGGCGCAGGCTCTGTAGGTCTGTGCATGTAAAGAAGGTTCTTGGGAAGCAGAGTGCATTTCTTTCACCACCACCACCCCCAAATGTCCCCACTCCCACCCTCCGCTCCCAATCAGAGCCATCGTTTCTATCCAGAAGTCATCAGTGGGATGACTCAAAATCAAGCCTTTCTGGAGGGTGGCTGGGGGCAAAAGAGAAGCTAGACGTCCTTCAGACCCACAAACCCAAGAGACTGAACGGGGACAATTACTGATGTCAAAGATAATCGGCAGATCAGAAGGAACAAAGGTAGCTGCAGTGGAAGACCTTCCCCCTTCCCCTCTGCGTTTGGTGCTTGCCGTGTGTGCACTCAGTCATCTTCAGCCAAAGCATACCCACCCACTTAGCATCAGTTTACTTCACAGTGGCCCATTTAAAGACATTTCATCTAAATAGAGTTCACCAAGAATCCATTCATCTATTGACCGATATGCCTAAACTTCAACCCTCTTCTGAATCATCTTTTATCTATTTGTGTTTTTCCCCTCTTTTTTTTGTATTGAAATTATTTTTTAAAAACTAAGTTGATTAATAAGGCTACTGCCTACAAAAACAAAGCCAAGCCCTGGCTGGGTGGCCAGGAGCCACCCTGACTGGGTTTATAGGAGCATATAGGAGCATCGTCCCATACACTGAAAGGTCATGGGTTTGATTCCTGGTCAGGGCACAAGGGCATATAGCTGATTTCAGGTTTGATCCCTAGCCTGATTGGGCAACTAATTGATGCTTCTCTTTCACATTGAAGCCTCTCTCTCTCTCTCTCTCTCTCTCTCTCTTTCTCTTCCCCTCTCTCTAAAAGTCAATAAACATGTCCTGGGGTAAGGATTTTTTT